AATAGTTTAGTTATATAATATAGACTTAGAGAGAGACCCCTTCTAAAAAAAACGTTAAAATGTATTACCGGCACGCAAAACCTTAAATTAAAGTGAATAAATGAAGACTCGGCACACCACTTCTGAAAGGTTGCCTACCCCTGTGCTAGAATATGCCAGTATTCAACTATTACAATATCAGTGTGGAAAACATTCTTTGATTTACGACTTTCATCTAACCTGCTATGCAAGCCATATCCATTATTAGTTTTAGGAGTAACATGAAGGTTATAAGGGACTACTAGATCTGCTTAAGTTAATGGAATTACTCTATACAGATATATTTTAAATGGAAAGATTTATAGCAGAAGAATTACTTCTAACTAGCCTTTTCCACCAGGATAATCTTATAGGAGATATTACTGTACCTAGTCATAGCTTTGTTTAAAGACATGTCAATAAAACTTGAGACTCAGACTCCTTTCCTACAAGGGAAGGTTACTATATGAGGCCATGAACTGCATGGACAATCACTACAAACTGAAAAAAATCTCTGACCACACTGTGATCTTTCTACTCCAGCTCAGGGTTTGGGAATTGTTCTGTAGATGGCTTTGTGAATGTGATATCTTTCAATGGATCTGGTGAAAAGGTTTGTCAGACTAACATGAGCATGTGGAACTCACCTCTAGGACCAATGTAGGTTGGCAATGATGTATAGTAACCATTTACCTAGTTTGAACAATGAGCTTAATTGCTTGAACCAGTGAGCAGATGCGGGCTGCATGCTGAACAAAAGATTTAAGCAACAGAGGAAGCCCTGCTGGAATCCTTGGTAGGCAAGAATATCAAAGCTGCTGGTCATCTGGGCATGGATTGCTGCTGTCAGACCTTTGCCGGATAAATAGGAGTGCCATTGCCCAACTGAAAAGACATACCAACACATGGGGGGGGGGCTTTCAATAGGAAAGCCACACTCAGCAGTGGAGCAAAGACTCTACCGCCACCCAATTCCTCAGTCAGTTTAGATGATAGTAAATGCAACTTGGTCATGAAATTGAAGTCTGTTAATGTTCGGAATCTCATGCTTACGCTTTTAATAGGGAGCCAGGGCCGGCACCAGCTTGTCAAGCAGGTGCTTGGGGCGGCCACTTTGGAGAGGGGCGGCACGTCCAGCTATTCAGCGGCAATTCGGCGGATGGTCCCTCACTTCGGCTCGGAGCGAAGGACCTTCCGCCGAATTGCCGCCGCAGATCGCGATCGCGGCTTTTTTTTTTTTTTTTTTTTTTTTTTTTTTT